CACCCTCAGTAGCCCCCATACGCAAGAACGTTGCATCGGCGACCACAAGGACACACACGGGCGAACCAACCGAGACCAAATAACGCAAAGGCCAGCTCGGTGCACTTTGCTATCACCTGGGAAGTGTCGACCAAAGTCGACCACAATTACCTCACTCCGTCGAAAGCAGCCGTCCAACAACCTGAACCCCTGGAATCCCCAAGCTATGCCGGAGTCCTTCACAAACAAGTGGTCACTCTTGTCGTCTTCGTCCTGTAGGCGTGATACAACATGGCATCCTCAACCCTGAGCTCGACGGTTCGGAGTTCACAGCTTCGGCTGCTAGAATGCTAGAACTTTGCGTAAGTAGCTTCAGCGAACGGAGTCTTGTTTCGTTAGCTTGGAAGCCTGCTTGCACAACACTGACAAACTGGCAAAGCTCCTCAGCAGCATCCAGCTCTTCGTCTTTTGTCTCGTCTTCCTCCTCAGCATCATAATCTTCCTGATCCTTGGCCGGCTGCTTCTCTGTCGCATCCTCCTCCTCTTCATCGTCTTCCGCTGGCTCAAGCGCCTCCTCTTCCTCTTCCTCCTCGCCCTGCTCTTCCTCCCCCTCCTCCATACTGTCCTGGCAGGAGGACATTTTCTCTTCTTTCTCTAGCTCATCCTGGCCTACCTCTTCTTCCTGCGAGTCTTCTTCGGCTTGTGCGCCAACTTCATCAGCCTGCTCCTCATCTGACTCCTCATCTTCTTGCACCACCACCCTTGCAGTGCCCTGGTCCCCGAGCTCTTCCTCATCTGCTGCCTCTTCTGTTTCCTCATCTGCTGCCTGCCTTCGCCATGTTCTCCCTGTCATTCCATGCTGGCCTCGGCTCTGCTGGGCGTCTGATGGATGTCGTGACGTCCACCCTGGACAAGAAGACTGCCTGCCCATCATTTACCGGCGGGGCCGTGGCTGCCACGCTTTGGGCCGGACTAGATCTCCAGTTGGAGTCCAAGTCCGCACCCGAGTAGCCCCAGGCATATTTTCCGCTTCCCTTTCCTCCACCCTTTCCGAAATGCCCGTGATGCGCCGTTGCTCATGGCAGTCACGCTGCCCGTGCCCTGTGGCCCCTGCGGTACCCCTTGCATTTGCATGCCTTGCATT